TTATTTCTCATTCTACGTGACTTTACCGAAAGAACCAAAGAAGAAAATGCGAATGTTTGTTTACGCGGCACTAAAAGTACAGGCGTTCACAGTAACCGTGCTGTGTAAATGGCACGGTTACTGTTCGCAACGTTTCATTGCGTTGGTGCGACAATCGTGTGCCGAATTGTCCCGGGCGCTCCGTTACAAAACCTGACGGGGATTTTGTTTTAACGTCTCGAAAAAGTGTGGGGAGACTTCGCGCAACGCGGCGCGACTGTGGAAGCTTCATGGACCGACTCGACATGAATTCTGTCGTCACTTCTGAAAGCCTGCACCAACACACGCCACGACAGCTGTCTCCACAGCTGCTGCTGCTGCCGCAGTCATTGGCATTCAATTGTCGTGCTCATGTCACCGTGCCATAAAATAGAAATCGTGTTCAAGGCGGTGCATCCGTGCACAAGTCATCGGTGGGCACACGTAATGACGCTGTAAGTTTATCGCGCTCGTGTCAATAAACCATAAACTTTGTTACAGAATATACGTGCAAGGGCCCTTCCGTGAAAAACTAAATATTAAGAAACGAGAGCGCAGATGCATAAACATGAAAGTACTGCAGAAAAAAACCCCCACATCATATTAGGCAAAGGAGGTAGAGCGGTGGTGCAGTGGTTAATGTGCTGCACTGTGAACCCAGCGACCTGAAATTGATTTCTGGCTGCATCAGTGGCGAGCGATATCTGAACCAACCCCTGCCCTCTCCACTGTCACCAATCCGCATTGACCAGCACGGTGAGGTATGATCAAAACAACGCTCATGGCGTGGAGAGGCCTTCATCCAATAGTGCATTGAGAATGACTGGAAATTATGAACCAAATTGTTTTCGTGCTCAAATGGATGATTCCCATTATCCTTGGAAGACTCTGAGCTAAGTCGTGAAAATGTAACGTTGTTTGTAGTGTGGGCAAATGTCTCCATATGGCAACAAATTCTGACTTCGCACAAAAGAGTACTGTTTTTGTTTTATCCACCAGAAAGGAATGATGGCTCGAGTGGGCCATATTCTGGGATGTAAACTCGCAACCTGCCGGTTGTGAGTCTGTCATAAGGCCATCTGGCCTACAGTGCTGCCTACAAGGCGATGCAAAGACATGTACCAGTGAATGCATAGGGATGCATAGGGAGACCAGTTTGTTGAATGTACAAGAGTGGTCCAGATGTATTGCATATATTCATTTATGTTTTAAATAAATCTTACTTGATAAAATATGACGTTTTGGAGATTTAACTGGAGTTCACAAGACACCTGGATCACCCTGTACAAACTTATCTGTACTCGTTTTGATGTGCTGGCAGTAGGGGCAACCCCTCCTCCTACTATGCACCTGTGCACAATTTACTGATTTTCCTACGCGCAGTATGGCTGGCATAAACGCGGATAATAAGAAACTGCCACCACTTATCCATACAAAATCTCAGAAGATAGGGACTTCGTACTTATGCAATAACACTCCTGGGTGACTCGTATCGGCACAACGCCTCAGAGCATTATAGGATAATGTTCCCACCGCGTCCTGGGCTACTCTTCTTATCCGTGCAGAGGCTCGGATCGCATGCACAGCCAGCACCAAGATAATCAGAGTTTAATCGATGAGTTTAAGTGGACAGCATGCTGAATAGATCATCGGTGTACGGACAGGAGGCGTTTAACGGTGTTGCACGAGCGTGCATCGTGATGAGTGGTCCGGGCGTTCCGTGAAACGAGCATCCCAGGTCGCTTCTCTCGTGACCGTTTAGCCACAGAGCGAGAGTCAATCAGCGATGTAATTGGATGTTGCCGCGAATCCCCAGGGGTTGACTGTGACGCTGTCTGTGGGAATTGATGGGGCCCTCTGGAACACGCCTGCCACGCCACGCCACGTCGTATTGTCCAGCGTGCATTCACTGTATTAAGCGCAACAGTCACACGAAACCCTTTGTTATTTGAATATGAATGTGTTGCATCCCGGGCATGGATAATATCGAATATTTATGCGTTGCATTCCGGTCATGGATCATATCGAATATGTATGCGTTGAATCTTGGTCATGGATAATATCAGTGGCGAGTAATATCCGAAACGATCTTGGGCCGCTCCATTCACTATCCCACACTGACCAGTGCGGTGAAGTATGGTCAAACATCACCCCCCCCTACCCCCCACCACCGTGACTACTATAACATGGGGAGTTTAACACGTAGGCTTGATGACGTCACCCTGCTGCTCTATTTAAAACCGGGAGCAAGCGAGGGCTTTACCATTCTGGTGAATTGCCCGATGATGCTGGATGTAATTACCAGCGAAACGTCGTACTCAAACTGTAAATGTTGTGGATTCACTCTTCAACACACCGGTGGGCTAAAGTAGTGAATTATTTGGCTTTTGTCAACGTGACACTTTTTTTGCTGATTGGCCGTATCGGGTGGTGGAGGGTTACGACACATTTATAAATAACGCGATCTAACCCAAAAACCTTTATTATGAATAACATGGGGAGGCGTTCAAGCGGCCCCTAAAGTACTCGCCACGGCGGCAATCCACGGATCCCCCCGCTTTTGGTGTCAACTCGATTAACTTTACGAAGAGCCTCGTAATACTCACTCAAGGAACTTACAATTTGTGATTGATCATTTCCTGTGTCAGGATAAATCGTCACGAGTCACAGACATTGCAGCAGAGCAAGTACCGACAACATTCTCTAAAACTAAGCTGACTCAGCCAATGCATCCGTCCTATTTTGGACCACCCTTGTAAATAAAAAAATACGTGCTTGACGTTAGCTTGTTAAGTACAAGATTCAGTATAAACAAAGGATTGTCATTATGATTATTTATACACTGTATTGGATATATGTTGCAGCCCAATCAAGTCCAGTTCGACAAAATGCAGCGCGAGACACGGTATTCGACTTTATTTTATTTTATACCTACGTGACATTACCGAAAGAGCCAAAGAGTAAGCAGTGTAGACCTAACATTGCCCCAGCATAGGCAATGCCTGTGCCTCTGATAAAGAGTAAGCAGCGTAGACCTAACATTGCCCCAGTATAGGCAATGCCTGTGCCTCTGATAAAGAGTAAACAGCGTAGACCTAACATTGCCCCAGCATAGGCAATGCCTGTGCCTCTGATAAAGAGTAAGTGATAAAGAGTAAGTGATAAAGAGGAAGTGATAAAGAGTAAGTGATAAAGAGTAAGTGATAAAGAGGAAGTTATAAAGAGTAAGTGAAGTGCATGCTGGAGAGGCTCATTGGAGCTCCTCGTGAAGGGTTCTTCCAACAATCGCACGGCTGCGCCTTTGCCTTTAGGCATGACTCGATGTCGACCGCTGCCCTCTGGTACTGCAATTACGTTTAACTCACAAAGTGGGCAACAATAATTGAGGGTGAATTCACTCGGACACAAAACCCCTTACCTGGAGGGCTCTACGAAGTCGGTGGGTACAAACTTCAAATAGACTGTCGTGCAATTCACGAGATGCGCACATGGCATTATACTTTCAGGGCACATTCCCACAAAAGTACATACATAATTTAACCAATGATTATATACACAGTCTACTGTTCCCATTTAGGCAATGCTATGGATGATGTAATGTGTGTAAGCAATATAACAAATACTGTTATAGTCTGTAACTCAGATCATGTTAGTAAACTTACACGTGTTCGTAAGCCTATATTATATACATTATATTGTGCCCGTGCTACGGAAAACTCCCAATGCTTACATTCTGAATGAGCTCCACGTGTACATCGTGTCATTCATGGCTTCATACAACTGTCGGGGGCTGAGCTCCGGAAAATACTCTACGAGTAATTAAGTATAGACTTGAATACAAGTACAGTACAATGCTGGATTCACACGAGGTAATCCGTGTACTATACCTATGGTCCCACTCGAGTTATACAACAGCACGTTCATTCTATGCTGTCTATATACAGCATGAACGTTAGACTGAGACGCATCGAATATGGTGAACATGACACGCACACACCGAGAGTAATTCCATTTTAACAATAAAGTAACATCTCACACTTGCTGACCATATATATACACAATGTACGCATATATAAAAAACGTGCAGTGGAATGCATACGGCACGGAGAAGCATAAACCACGTCTGCTTTCATTGCGAGAGCGCCACGCGACAGTACGGACAGGTGCAATGCCATTCCCATTCACAAGATATCGGCACAATGTCAATCAGCGCGTGTACACCGCTACGTAGCGTGAGTAAACCGTAGAGAATGACAATCATGATGACTTCACGTCGCCGCGTGGCGTGGCCTGGTGGTCGCGCGTAAAGTACAAACGGATCGCACTACAGAGCACTCACGTGCCGAGACATGAAGACATCTGGACAATAGCGCGCATCTTCAATTCACAAGACGTGCCCGGAGTTTACTGCGCGGCGCGCTATCGTGCCGAGCGCCACCTGAGCGTCCACGGGCAGGTCACTCGTTCGTCACAGTCACAACCTGTGACATTGTCCGGGCCATTCGATTGTTGACTCAACATTACACACACCCCGTGTCATGCATTACATCGATCACGCAGCGGGCTCGTTCATGTGTATATGCTTGTGCGTATGATGTGACACAAGTGATATTGTGCACGTTGATGTGTGTGTGTTGTGCGTCTGTGTGTGTGGGGGGTGGTAGTATATTGGTTAGCGCTACGCTGCGCTACGAACTCGGCCACCCGAGTTCGATTCCCGCTCACGGTCAACACCAGTGACGATTATCTGAACCGGTCCTGAGCCTCCCCTAGGTCGACTCAGCCTCAAATTAGTACCTGGTGCGATGTGTAAACATCGCCACTGTGGAGACAAGGCAGCCGGGCGCGGTGTTGGCCAACCACCCCCTCGTGTGCCGTGTCGGCCTTCATGTGTGCTACTCGCTAACAGCACTTGCCCCAAGAGTCTGTTAAGGCTACACGGGGGATCTTTGTCTCTGCCTGCGCGTGTGTGTGCAAATTACCTGGCATCTTCAGCGACGTGCTGGCGATGGCGACGATGATGAATGCGAGCCGCGCAGCCATCGGAACACAAACGTTGTTGCCTTATTCAGCTACACAAAGCGATAGCAACAACACAAAATTGTGTCTAAACCGACATAAACAATGAACAAGACCGCGAGAGACCCAAGCTGCTGCTGCTGCTGCAACGTGGCTGGGCTGTCCGGCTTTGGCCCCTGTCGGGTTCTCAACGAATCATTCTTCGGCAGACGAGTCTAAATGCTCTGCGCCTGATGTTGTTACGTGTGATTTGCTAATGATAAGAAGTGTCAGGGATGTTGCCCTATTTGTTGAGCCTAAGACAAGCTGTACTGTTATTCCTGCTCCTCCACGTGCCCTCTCCTCGATGTTTTTTTAGTGTGGAAATTAAAAAAGATGAGAGAGACGCGAAGCCTTATGAATAATTGAACGGCGACACGGAGCCAACACCTCCTACACGCGCCTTCTCGCTCCTACGCCTCCAGCAAACGCGCACAACGGGCGCGCAAGGCGGTGCGCTCAACACCGCAGTGGACAAGCACTTCGGTATTGTCGTACGGTGGTGTATATCGCGCTTCCTATTGCATGTACCCCTCCTCCTCCCTCTTACAGAGGTTGGCTTACACACGCGCGCACCGATACACCAGCACGCGTGCGCTGCACGAGACACATGCAGCGCCTATGGGGCCCTACTGCGTGACAGCCCTGCCCAGCCGGGGTTGTCTGCCTGCCTGAGAGGCCGCTTGGATGAGCGGGGCGTTTTTAAACTTGGTCAGCCCTCCCTGCTTGATTTCTCCACCACCACCTCAATAGCAGCAGCAGCAGCAGCCAGCCCCACGCCTGTCCACTCCCCCTCCCTCTCTCTCTTACCCCAGCCAGCCAGCCTACCACCACCCATTCACAGCACAACAAAGGCAGCCGCAGACACCTCCTTCAGCCACACCTCCTTCTCAAGACACCTCCTCCCATCTCCTACCCTCTTCATCCCTCCCTCCGCTGTCTTCCTATCCCGCTGCTGTCCTTCCGTCCCCTTAGCCTCCCCCTCGCACATCCCCCCCACCCCCAGCCACCACCCACCCACCCCTGCACTCCCCCCCCCACCCCCAGCCACCACCCACCCACCCCTGCACTCCCCCCCACCCCCAGCCACCACCCACCCACCCCTGCACTCCGCATCCCCAAGGGGACACTTTGTCTGCAGCTCCCTCCGGCGTCCCGAGTCCATTGGTGCAGCCCAGGGACGCGTGATGGACGCGCGCGGCATTATTCCCTGGGCAGTAGCATTGTGACGACGACAATGCCCTCCACTTGCAGCGACACCACGTGCGCCGGGTACGCAGCGGCGTCGGACTAAGGGGTGGCGAGTGTCGGCGCAGGCAAATTGGGAATGCGTACGCACGACATACACGCATATGCATGCGTGTAATATATCCGTTATATGTGTATAAGGGACCGTCCATAAATGACGTCACTCGATTTTTGCCGATTTTTTACCCCCCCCCCCTCGTCACACGGCGTCACAAAAAGTCAGACCCCCCCCCTCAAATATGACGTTACAAAGCTCTGCCCCCCCCCAAAAAAACATATTTCCATTTTGAAAATAAAACATGCTTCAAATCACTTTTAACTATTGTCATTGTAGTGCGTATTTAATGTGGCGCTGCACTCTGATGTTGTAGGTTTAAACACGCATTAAAAAGGAGGCGTTGGAAAGCTTAAATTTAGCATAAAATTCACTTGAAAATATTCAACGTCTAACTAAAACTGCAGATGTTCAGAATATTATATTTAAATTCTCTTATAATTATAAAATATTAAAAGTAATTATATCTATTAAAAAAATACTTGAAACTTTGTAGTAGAACGAAGCAAAACGGAGAGTACAATTATAACAATCACATATTCTAATTTAAAGCTTTCGTGACTGCAGGGATAAATATAATTGGTTCTTTCGGTGATTGCTAAGCCAGAATCCATCTTCTCGGTTGAAATTGCCATTGGAAGGATTTGATAAACCATTTCGGGTCTTAATTGATTGTTCACGCTTACGGTGGCTTTCAGACCGCATCCATTATTTTCGTCTCCCCCCTCCTCTTTTCCCAACATACATGGACTCGTCCATCTGAATAATTCCCAAATCGCTCTCCGTGGTGCTAACGTTAAAGAAACCGCCACTTTTTTCAAATTTTCTTTGTAGTGGTTTTCACACCTGATGATGATTGCTTGTGTTGCAGTCGAAACGTCCTGAGAATTGTATTGTTTTATATTTTTATTATTTTATTGTTTCCCTTCTACGTGACTTTACCGAAAGAACCAAGAATATGAATCACATATTCATTCCGCAGAATGAAAAGCCCTGGTAGAATCATTACAATCAAAATGTTTAATAACAATCATTAAAAAAAATAACAAAATTTATGCTTCTCCATTCTCCCATGGAGAAGCAAAATGCTCCTTCATGGAATAAATAAAAGGTAATCTTAGTAAATTTAAATAATCAAATAGTTAACAATGAATATTAATCAAAATTAGTGTTGCTCTAACAATTATATTTAATTAAGTAGAACGTGTTGTTTATATTTATTTAAAGTTGCGCATTTTAATGTGAAGTCACATTTCTCAAACCCCCCCTCCCACCCTCGTCACACATCGTCACAAATGTCTGACCCCCCCTTCCCCCCCTAGGTGCGTGACGTCATTTCTGGACGGCCCCTAATATGACGCGGTAAACATGTTGAACGTCCCATACTCGCGTCCTGTAACAAAGCATGGTTCGATAATGACCGCTAGGAGCATAACGCCACTGCACATCTGTTGAATTGGTTGAAAGGTAACGGCGTGAGCGCTGCACGTTCCTGTTCACGCCACTGCTGGACCTGGATCAGAGGGAGCCCTCCTCGTGACGGTACTTGGTCTACTCTTCCGCAATGCCCAGACATCTGGGAAGAGGTGGGAATACCCCCACACTTTACCCCTCCACACGCGACCTGCCGACTGGCGAACCGCGGGGCTCTAAGAAACTTGCACCCCCTCCGCCTCAAATCACTGCACCTGAATGAGTTAAATGATGACGTCACCCTGCTGCTGCTCTATTTAAGACCGGGAGCAAGTGAGGGCTTCACCATTCTGGCGAATTGCCCGATGATACTGGATGTAATTACCAGCGAAACGTCGTAGTCAAAAATTGTAAATGTTGTGTATTCACTCTTCAACACACCGGTGGGCTAAAGTAGTGAACTATTTGTCTTTTGTCAACGTGACACTTTTTTACTGACTGGCCGTGTCGGGTGGTGGAGGGTTACGACACATTTATAAATAACGCGATCTAACCCAAAAACCTTTATTATGGACCACCATTGTCTTTCCTGCCACACCGGGAGATTGAACCAGCGACGTCTGGGAATTGTTGTGCGGGACCATTGCAAACCCTTACCTTCATAGACCGTTGGTTCAAAGGATATCTTTTTCAACAAATAAAACATACATTGTGTAATATTGTATACAATATACACTGTACCCTGTTGTATATTTTAGGATGGTCAAAAAATATTTCAGAACCAAAAGTTGAATGTGCATCAGACTTGCGGACGTCATGTCATGTGAAGTGGGCATTACAGACCCTACTGTGCCATTATAACTGTCATCAGCATCACCCTCTGCCGTTAGTGAAATGGGCTACAGCGTTGCAGTGGCATTGTCCCAGGGGATGGTTCGCACACGGCACCTTGAACCCAGACCACCTGAGTTCAAGTCGCTAGCTGTGGCTAACAACAGCGTCGAGTGATGGGAGGTACTGTCAGCTCAAACACGACCAACACGCCATGGGGATCAGCAGTGTATTGATACATTCCAACAACAAAAAATCACTGTCACATTTTGGCAAAACTATATATAAGCTATTCCTGCCGTTCGCCAAGTCTTCTTTAAGGACGAATCACGATGGGATTCCATCTGCACCTCCGATTCGCATGGTTGGCTACGTACGGTGCGAAAAATATCTCATTATTGACATGCATATTACTGCATCGTGATATGTGTGTGATAGCCATTGGCCATGTGATCCCTTCACTAGAAAGGACGATGCTCCCACCATCGGCAGCAGCCAAAGAGGAAAAGCGGCCCAAGCGCAGAACCACTTGAAGACGGAGCAATGGGATCAGCTCGTTCACAGGAGATACATGGATCGTGGCATCTCGATCACTTGGGAAGGCCTTCATTCATCAGTGGATAGATCATGGCTGACGATGATAGTATATACTGTTCAGAAATAAAGTTTTTTTATCAAGCGAACAGCAAAAGATTCGAGTCAGCAGTGAACTGACAGCCTTCTGAACACGAGAATACGAATCACATTTAAATACTGCACATCTTGATGCAACATCAGTACTGTACACCGATTTTTAAATCGTTGGCTCATTGACTTAGACGAAAAAATAAGCTTTACAAAGTTGCTATGGCTCATTCGGAATATACGATTGGTATGAGGCTTTATAAACAAAATATATCATGGGACCTTCTTTGCCAGTACCAAAATATGAGAAGAGGTTTGCCCCTTTTTTCTGGCAACAAAACAGGTGTTAAGATGTTAGATATTATCAGAGTATGTTTTTGGTTTGCATTCTGACCACAAGTATAGTGGTTAATGCAGACATGATTCCTTGTAAAATGTTTCAGTTTGGTGTTTTAACATCTTAACACCTGTTCTTGGTTCTTTCGGTAAAGTCACGTAGAAGGGAAACAATAAAATAATACCGAAAGAACCAATAATATGAATCTCTGCAGTCACAAAAGCTTGAAATCAAAATCTTAACACCTGTTTTGTTGCATGAAAAAAGGGGGAAATCTATTCTCAAACAAAATAATAACTTAGTTTTGGTGATCTGTGCCTAACGCCTGACACAAAATATATTTTTCATGAACGGCTGATTAAAATGTAACTAATGATTGGTTTGTTATTACAAGAAAATATATTTCCTCCAAAAATATACCAGCGCCACTTCTTATGAGAGCCAAGTGCGCCCCTGTTTTAGAATTTACCTTTGCGTTCTGCGCATCATTACATAATACTAATAATAGATAGTCTTTTCAGTTAATTTGTGCGTGACAATAGTTTTTCATTTTTTGGACATCGAATAGAAATTTTAATAAAGAAGCAGAATCCGCTTTTCATTTGAACTTCACTTTGAAGACTTTTGCTCACACTTCGAGTGAACATTTGTGAAAATTCCCGTTCCGATCAATGATAAACAGTCACTTCTTCCAAATTCACATCAATTCAGAATCCCGTGAGTTATTGTAACGGAGTGTAAATACATTTTGGTAAACGCGACCTTCTGCTCACATTTTTTGCGAAAATTTGTGAAAATTAGTGAACACCAATCCGTACTTCCGGTTTACAGTTTATTTTTTTTCTTATTCACATCAATACAGAATCCAGTAAGTCGATACTTATAATAATTAAATGATCCCTACTACAATTGCACATTTTCAACAAACAAAAGTCGAGAATCAAGTGTTTATATTGTCTTATTCACTCTCACAGGTGAGTGAAAATATAAAGTTTGGAAAACCAATTTTTGATTGTAACGTTCCGGTAACTTTCTGCCTGCTGGAACGTTATAACTCAAACGGCTCTTACAACGCTACAATAAAGGTGACTTACACTGAGAGATTTTCGATTAAATAAATTCAATACAACCTTAAAATTTGAGTCTTTTTCATTCAATGTAATTTTTATGAACCCGTCAAATGACGGGCAATTACACTAGTGATATATTAGTGAAGGCTATACTAATGCAATATTTATTTAACGAGGGAATAACCTTGAAATTCACATTTCATTTCCAAGAGGGCC